TGAATGGAGCACTGGGTGTTATATGCAAACAATGAATCATGGAACACTACATCAAAAACTAATGATGTAATGTATGGTGATTAACATAATAAAATAAAATTTAAAAAAAAGTAAAAAAATAAAACTCCGGCACCTGGCTGGCTCGGTCAGAAGAGCACATGACTCTTGATCTCATGGTTATGAGTTTGAGCCCCACCTTAGGTGCAGTGATTACTTAAAATAAATAAAAATAAAATTTAAAAATATTTAAAAATAAATAAATAAAACTCATGTTACTGTTCAAATCCATGATGTTCACCATAAACTACTTTTTCTTAAGAAAGTAAATCTCTGATATTAACAAGTTTTACTTTTTTATTTTAAAAGAATTCAGAAAAATTATCTGTTAAACTCTATAGGACATCAGTATTTCAGAGTTTTGATAAAATTAAAACATTATGAGCAATATTTCTAATCTGCACAATATAAAAAGAGTTGATGCCAAAACACTTTCCAAAAAACCAGCAAGTGAACTAAAAATAAGGAAGAGAGTGAAAATAGTAGGAAAAAAAAAAGCCTTATTACACTATCTTCCCCCTCACTTCCCAGTTCCTGGAAGCTGCCTGGGAGGTTATATAAGCACTGAAGTATGTATTTCTAGCAAGAATGCTTTCCGTAGGAGGTAGATGGGAAATCAAAAATAACTATTATTTAAGAGCAAAAAAAATCAGTGCAAGAACTATTGTTTGCAAACTGCATAAAATCAGGTTCTTTCCTTACAGAAAGAAAGAAATACAAAACAGAGGAATATCGTCATAAACACTCTGAAGAAATCAGATCAAGCCCAGTGCTGAGAGCTGTCTACCTTTACCTACTCATAGCTTTGTAACAGACAACAGTAATACAATTTTACTTGAGTCCCCAAATAGACTAGAAATCTACTGAGGGTAGAAGCTGTCCCTTCCTTTAATGACAAGAATCATATTTTCCACACAGTGTTAAATAAGTCTTCCTAGTAATATTTTATATTTGTACAATTTTGATGCAAATATACATAAAGATGGTCTTGTGTGAGCTTATACCTCTAGTAAGAGACAAGACAAAAACCAATCCCCATTTTGTAGGGCATCACATCTTCTCTTCTGCTGGCCTCCCTAAATACCTTTCATTCCCAATGAATAAGATGAATGACAAACCCTGGGTCCTCTCCCCCTAAAGAGGACGCTTTAATTTATCCAAAACCATTTTCAGAATTCTCTTCAGCAAAAGACAAATACTACCATTCATGCTCTGGATCCCTTTCCTTTAATTTATAACTTCTATTTGTTATAAGACCATCAATGTGAAAGCCATCTGCAAAGTGTGCAGTGACACGCTTTGTTACTTTGAACACAACACAAACGAGATCTTAAGTTGGCCTGCCTTTGGACTTCCTTTTTTGGAGGAAAAGAATGATTATGACTCTGGCTTTTCTTATAATTTCCTAATATAGAGTAAGATTTATTGTTAACTATAAAAATATGGGCTTATATTCACACCTGCATAAGAGTTGAATCTAAAATTTAAAATATGAAATAATTACCTTCAGTTTGTTTGCTTCTTTCTTATCCCCAGCAAAAAAGGAATTCTCATCAAAATGCAAAGGAAATGACCTACATGTTAAAACAGAAGATTCATTTTCAGGTATTATAAAATATAAAAGTCCTGCTAAGATAACATTTTGCTGGCTGGTGATGAATAATACAATAAAAAGAGTAGAAAATCTAGTAAAATCAAACTCTGTTGCCCCAAAACAAAGTCTTATCCTCAAATCTAAAACAACTGCATAAAATAGAAGTCTGGCCCCAAACCCAGTATGTTCAACCACATATGAAAATAATGTAGGTATCAAATACTACAAGAATGATTCTGAAAACTAAACACTTGTGCCATTTAGTACCTAAGTCAAAACAAAAACAAAACTCAATTCTAAAAGACCTATAAGCAAAATTAGCTTTTAATTATTATTATTATTTTTAATAATTTTCCTTTCTTGGGGCACCTGGGTGGCTCAGTCGGTTAAGCATCTGACTTCAGCTCAGGCCATAATCTCAGGGTCCTGGGATCAAGCCCCATGTGGGACTTTGTGCTCAGCAGGGAGTCTGCTTCTCCCTCTCCCTCTGCCCCTTCCCCCTGCTGGTGCTCTCTCTCTAATATAAATAAATAAAATCTTGGGGCGCCTGGGTGGCTCAGTCGTTAAGCGTCTGCCTTCGGCTCAGGTCATGATCCCAGGGTCCTGGGATCGAGCCCCGCATCGGGCTCCCTGCTTGGCGGGAAGCCTGCTTCTCCCTCTCCCACTCCCGCTGCTTCTGTTCCCTCTCTCACTGTGTCTCTCTCTGTCAAATAAATTAAAAAATCTTTAAAAATAAATAAATAAGTAAAATCTTTAGAAAAATTTTTTCCTTTCTCTAAACTGAGTATTTTAAGAATTGAACTTTGATACCACTTGTCACTCTCCTATTAATGTTTAAGTTGTACAAGTCATAATATGGAATTTACTTGATTTCATGAAGTATTTCCAAAAGTAGCATTTTGTTTTCTGCATCATGAACTTTATTTCCAGTGAAGAGTTGAAAATCTGGGCGCTCAAAGAATGGTACCACTTTAGATAAAGCCCTTAATTCTATTAAGTAGAGAAAATACAAGTTCTTAAGCCTTCTTGGACCCTCTCCTTCAGTCAAAATTCCATCAAATCGCTGTTGAAATTCTGTAATGTTGTGTCCCCATTTCTTTTCCAACCAAGTTTCTGAGAAGAAAGAAGAATTAAATATTAAAATCTGAATTTTAAAAGTTTCAGTTTACTTACATTGGGTTACTTATGCCTGCAGAAGTATATCTGAAAATACAGAACAATGAAAGCTGCTTTTCATAATTTAGCTTTTAATGGTTCTACATTAATATTTTATCTTCTAGAACCCATCCTTAGGAGGAAAATAAATTCACTGTTTTACTGAGAAGTATGACTTCACAGAAATCAAATTTCTAAATATAAACATTTATAAAACCAAAATACACAATTTAAAAATGACTACCTGAAATTACTGATAAGTCTGAAACCCTATTTAAAATTCAAGTTACTGTATTTTGTTCCTGAGACATAGAGATACTTGAAATTCCAGAAGAAATAGGTTCCTGATGAAAATCAAACATGGTCTTGTTTTGTAACAGCATTTTTAAAGCATAAAGAGCAGCAGAAAATACTTCTACCCATTAAACTCCAGGCCTGAAGTTGGCACACAAATAAAAGGGTTTTAATACAGTAAAAATATCTAATGAGTAACAAACGGGACCACTATGAGCTATTTTAACTCCCACAACAAAAGAGTATTTCCAAAGAGATGTGCACAATTTTGAGCAGCTTCTTAAAAGGATCTGTAATTTCTACAGTTCTTACATTCCTGATTACTACCATTTAAGAATTAATTTTTAATGCCCAATATTCAATAGGGTCAACTTTGTCCCACGAAGGTAAATACCAAAAAATTTTAAGAATATCTGAAAACAAGTATGGTAAAATATTTTTTTTCTTTTTTGTGTGTGTGTATTTTTTTTAAGTATGGTAAAATAAATAAAAGTGAATGTCACATACCTTGTAGAAGGTATCGTGCACTCAAATGCACATTAATGCTTGCATGCAGGCCAGATATAAGTCTGTAGAATGCTCTTTTTTCTACGCAGAGGCCTAAAAATAGTAATTTGGTAATCAAAATTTTATATGTGAAATGTACCATTTTAAAAATAATTTCATATGCCTTTAAAGATGAGAAAAATTTTTAACATTTAAATTTGTTTAAAAGTTTCCAATTACCTTCTAGCCAACTGTAAAAAGTGTTCTCTGAAATTAAAAGAAAAAGAAGTCACAAAGTTGTAAAAATGCCAAAATGTTGTTTTTCAATATAGAATATCAATCTGTGCCAAATGGTGATTTAAAAATTAACGAAAGGTCCAAATTTTATTTGCAATTTATCCAAAGGAAGAAGAGAAGTTCTTGGTGTGGATTCAACTAAGTACCATTCTCTTGCTCAGTCTCTAGAAGATTTCAGTACTGCCTTAGGTAGCCCCCATCTCATAACTTTCCAGATAAAATGTTTCATATGAAGTCAGAACACAGAATTTAAATAGTAAACCAATGCAAGGAAAACTACTTAGCCTTGAAAACAGGTGATTCTATGAAAATTAAGAACTCATTATATACTTTTCTAAAATGTTTTTAAAGGTTTTATTTATTTATTTATTTATTTATTTATTTTTATTAGGAGCGCGAGAGAGAGAGAGCATGCACACAAGCAAGGGGAGCAGCAGGCAGGCAGAGGGAGAGGGAGAAGGAGCCCGATGTAGGGCTCGATCCCAGGACCCTGGGACCATGACCTGAGCCAAAGGCAGATGCCTAACCAACTGAGCCACCCAGGCATCCCTATGCTTTTCTAAATTCTTAAAGTAAATAAAAATTATATAATAGGGGGCGCCTGGGTGGCTCAGTCGTTAAGCGGCTGCCTTCGGCTCAGGTCATGATCCCAGGGTCCTGGGATCGAGCCCCACATCGGGCTCCCTGCTCAGCGGGAAGCCTGCTTCTCCCTCTCCCACTCCCCCTGCTTGTGTTCCCTCTCTCTCTCTCTCTCTCTCTGTCAATTAAAAAAATAAATAAAATCTTTTAAAAAAAATTATAAAATAGAATTGGTGGTGTATTACTTGCATATCACTCATGGTATTCCATGCCATTCAGTATTTCAAAGGAGGAATACAAGGAAATGTTACAAAAACCAAGTACCACTTATATTCTATGACCCAGTAAGATCACTGTTCATATACTTAGACCTGGTAATTCTGCTTTTAGAATCATGTTCTAGGGGTGCCTGGGTGGCTCAGTTGGTTAACTGTCTGCCTTCAGCTCAGGACCTGATCCCATTGTCGTGGGATGGAGCCCAGGATCAGGTTCCCCACTCAGCTCGCTCTCTCTCAAATTAATAAATAAAATCTTAAAAAAAAAAAAGGAATTATGTTCTAAAGAAATAACTCAAATGGTGGAGGGGTCAATAATTTGTACAATGATTATATATAATTGTTAAAAACCGAAATAATCAAAATGTACAATAAGCCTAAGTTAACACGATAGGATGTTATATAACTAGGTAACATGGTAGACTAATATAATGCTATTTAAAATGATAAGAATGTGGACCATGCCAATACATGAAATGTTTATTTGAAATAACATATGAAAAGGCATAGAAATAATTTTTATAACTATGTAAAGATTCTACGTATACATTTATGAGAGATGGCAAACATTGAACATACAGTTCTTTTGACTAAAGCTGCTTATGGTAATATTAAAAATGAACTAAACAAGCATAAAAGTAATAAAAGGAATGACATAGAAAATATGCAATAAATTAGACTATCTAAAAACTTAAAATATCTGTTTGTCAGAAAACTTCACGAGCAAAAGTAAAAGGCAAATAACCAAGTAGGTTGAATGTATGTTACAAATACAACAAAGGGATAATATTCTCTTTTTTTTAAGATTTTATTTATTTGAGAGAGAGAGAGCATGAGCAGGGGGAGGGGCAGGAGAAAGAGAGGGAGAAACAGACTCCCCACTGAGTGCAGAGCCTGACTAGGGGCTCAATCCCAAGACCCCGAGATCATGACTTGAGCCAAAGTCAACTGCTTAACCAACTGAGCCAGCCAGGTGCCCCGAAGGGATAATATTCTAAATATATAAAAAGCTCATAAACTGAATAAAAGTGCTAAAGTGCCCATTTAAAGTGGGCAAATAACAGAAGTAGAGAATTCACAAAGGGAAAACCACAAATGGTAAGAACATAAAAATTACTCCATTTCACTAGTAATAAAAAATGCAAGGGGCGCCTGGGTGGCTCAGTTAGTTAAGCGACTGCCTTCGGCTCAGGTCATGATCCTGGAGTCCCAGGATCGAGTCCCACATCGGGCTCCCTGCTCAGCAGGGAGTCTGCTTCTCCCTCTGACCCTCTTCCCTCTCGTGCTCTCTATCTCTCATTCTCTCTCAAATAAATAAATAAAATCTTTTTAAAAAATGCAAATTACAACCATAGGGATACCACTTCTAAAAATAAAGATAAAAACAATACTTCATGCTGACAAGGGTCAGGTATAACTAGCAGGCACACTGATTGGAAGGGATACAAATTCACACATCTTCTCAATGACAAAATGCAATCTGGTCATATGTATCAGGAGCCTAAAATATCTATAACCTTTGATTCAGTAAACCCATTTCTAGAAATCTAGGCTGTTATGGATAAAATTTGTATGTTGAAGCTCTAAGTCCCCAGGGGATGGTATTTAGAGGTGGGGCCTTTGGGACATGATTAGATTTAGATGAGGTCTGAGGGTAGGATCCCCATGATGGGATTAGTGTCTTTATAGGCAGAGACCAGAGCTCTTTCTCAGCCACTGACAACACAGTGAAAAGGCTGGCCATCTGCAAGCCAGGAAGAGAGCCCTCAGGAAGAATCAAATCTGCCAACATTTTGATCTTGTACTTCCCAGCCTCCAGAACTGTGAGAAAATAAGCATCTCACTTAAGCCACCCAGTCTATGGTATTTTTTTAGAGCAGCCTGAGCCAAGACATAGGCTAAGGAAGCAAGCAGACATGGGAAAAATAATACACAAAACTATATCCAGTATAAAAATACACATATGTAAATAATCATAATTATCAAAATGTTGGGACACCTGGGTGGCTCAGTCAGTTAAGTGTCTGCTTTCGGCTCAGGTCATGATCCCAGGGTCCTGGAATTGAGCCCTGCATCGGGCTCCCTGCTCAGCAGGGAGCTTGCTTCTCCCTCTGCCTGCTTCTCCCCCCTGCCTGTGCTCTCTCTCTCTCTCTCTGACAAATAAATAAATAAGATCTTAAAAAAAATTTATCACAATGTTAACAGAGAAGCAGTATGAGATAGTAACTGAGAGCATGAACCTTGGAGCCAAACTAATATCATTTTCCAACTGTGCTTCTTACAAGTCATACATGATTTAGCTGAGTTGCAAATCCCCTCTGGCACTCATTTTCCTTGTCTATAAAATGGAAATAAAAATAATATCTCCTAAGAACGCTGGAAGGATTAAATGAAATCATATTTGTAAATTGCTTAGAAGAATAGTACTGGCACATAGTCTTAGCCATTACCATTATCAATTATTTGGGGTTGTGGGATTACAAGTGATTTGTCTCCTTATAAAAACCTTCAGAGTTGGGGCACCTAGCTGGTGCCGTTGGTTAAGCATTCGACTCTTGGTTTCGGCTCAGGTCTGATCTCAGGGTCATGAGATTGAGCATGGTGTCCGGCTCCATGCCGTGTGTGGAGGCTGCTCTTTTAAGACTCTCCTTTTCTCTCTCCCTTTCCCCCTGCATGCACAAACTCTCTCTCTCTCTGAAGGTTTTTTTTTTTTTTAAGATTTATTTCTTTATCTCTCAAATAAATAAATAAATCTTAAAAAAAAAAAAACCTTCAGAGTTTTTGTTTTGTTTTGTTTCAAGTTTGGGACCATGAATCAGGGGGAATGGGAGTGTAATACTACTTGGGACCTAGTCTTCCAATGAAATTTTCAGTTCTGTTCCTGAAGTAGCTATCCTCAACTTCACAAGGTTGTGATCCAATCAGATAATCACCTAATATGATAGCTGTCAGGGATAACTCTTTCAAATTTTACCAAAATGAAAAATTGTAAACACATGCATAAACAAGATAATTTCTCTAAAGATAGACTCCACAAGCTAACAATATTTTCTCTGACAATGAGACAGGATGAGGTCTTTAAACAGTATCGAAAAACTGAAATAATATACTCTAAAATAGCTAAGAATACCCAAGGTGGAATAAAATTTCTCAAAACTGAAAATTATAGGGAAGAGGGTAGAAAAAAAACCCTGAAAATTATAGATGACTACTAACAGTAATAAAATATGAGGCATCTTTGGAAGAATAATCTCATGCTAAAGAATTTCTCTTCCAAATAGTACAGTTCTGATTCAGTATTTTACTTAGCTATTATTGTTACAATAATACAAAGCATAAAAAAAAGCAATGTTATCAGACATTGGTATTCTGTTATTTAGACAGAATACAAAAGCAATTTGTAAAACTAATGTTCAGAAGACAAAATTTTGAAGGAGAGGAAAGGGATACTTCACATTTAGCAATTTCATCTAGCTGGACTAAAGCTAAGTACTGCCTTGTCTTTTCATATGGTTAAACACATGGCCTCAAGAATAAGAAAAATCATTTTAGGGGCGCCTGGGTGGCTCAGTCGGTTAAGTGTCTGCTTACGGCTCAGGTCATGATCCCGGGGTCCTGGGATCGAGCCCCACGTCAAGCTCAGCGGGAAGCCTGCTTCTCCCTCTCCCTCTGCCCCTTCCTCCCCAACTTGTGCACTCTCTCTCTCTCAAATAAATAAAACCTTAAAAAAAGAAAAAGAAAAATCACTCCAATTTTACTCAGAAAGCAAAAAGATTCTCACAAAGACAAAGTAAACCTAAAATACTTCAAAAATTTTAGCATTACAACTAAAAGAGTTGGCAATAACTACCCCAAGAGCGAATGCAAGCCTTGGAAGCAGGTAGAGCAACACTGACCATGCCTAGAAGCTTCCTCTATGGTCTGCTCCAGGAGTAAAGGAGAGGAGGTTTTCCCTAACAGAAGCTGGGCGGGGCAGGGGGTGGGGGGTGCGGTGCGGAATGCCTAGCTTCTGCAAGCACTGGGTAAAATGCACAAGTGAATTATCAGAGGCTGAGGCCGGTTGTCGCTACCGCCTGATCCCAGGCACAGTCATTTTCCCTTAACCTGTGCTGTCAACTCCTGAATTTTAGATAAACAGGAGTTCTTAGAAGTAGGAAGAAAAGTTTGCCAAATAAACATCTGAATGTATCAGCAAGTTCATATATATATGATAAAGAAATATTTACCTTCACTTTTCCCTGAAAAGCAAAACAAAATGTTGATTATTATAAAGTCCTTCCAGATGTCACTTTAAAATACTATACTTCCATAAAAATAAGACTTTGTAGTTTTAGTCCATCAGTTCACCCGTATAAAGCAAAATCTGAGGGAGACACTCATGACACAAACCTATCTAGTGGCAAATAGGAATTATGCCGGATTCGCTTCAAGGGCATCATCTCCAAGAGCCTGGGTAAGGAGTGGTTTCAGCTCGTACAAGATTTAATACAGACTGATGGGAGAGACAAATCTAATCTATCATCTGAGAGTACTCTCAAGTACCTTAAGGACTTACAGTTATTTGGTTGGCAGCGCCTATTTCCACATTTATTTATCCTAAACCTATAACATGGTTTCTGCTAAAGAATTGCATTCTTGCTTTGAAACCTCCAGACTGACGCTGTAAAATTTTACCTTATTCAGGAATATTCTGAAAGACTATTTGTGAAGATTCAAATTATGCACAGTTCGGCAGTTTGTAAGCCGCTGCTCATTTACTACTAAAAAACTGTCTTCATTTTGCCCATGCTTATTTAATGCCATCATTGTTTGATTATTAAAATAACATATGCTCATTGCAAATACATGTTTTTTTTTTAAGAAAGAAGACACAGACGAAATAAAAAATGTTATCCGTAACTCCCTCTGCCCTAGATAAATACCATTTACATTTTGGTAAATGTCCTTTTTCTTTGCATATAGACATTTAGATATTATATTAAGTATGTTTTTACAAAAATATACATACTGTTTGATGTCTGTTTCTTTTCTTCAATGTGCTATTGGTCATTACTGACCTAAATGAATACAAATTCTCAGCAATATTTCTAATGGCTGTATTCTACTCAATGAATATACCATAAATCATTTAACCAGTTCCTTAATGATAAACATTTAAATTTTTCCCATTTATATTTATGATAAGTGAGGGTAGTTAATCAGATCATAATGTGAGTTCATACTGAGGATCACCCCTTATCTAGGAATTTGCACTCATCTGATATTAAATCAATAGCTTCCAAAGAGTTACTATATGTGACTCATATAAACCCAAACTCCTGTTTAAAGATGTTCTTTCATTTCTAATCTAAGAAAGACTAGTCTGCCAACATTTAGGGAATGATGCACTCTCACTGCTTTCCAGGAGGAAATTTATGTTTATTGACTGTATGAGATCAGCAGCTTTTCAAATTTTAAAAAATGAAAAACTTATACATTTGCTAAAAGCACATCAAATATTTCATCAGTAAGCACGTATTACGGGAACAGGGATATAGATTTCCTAAGCAAAAATCTGAAATCCTACACTGAACTGGTTTATTCAACAAACCATTCTGCCTATTACAGACTGGGCAGGGTTTCTGAGTTTCAATTTTACACCCCCTCTGCCTCTGCACAGTGCCTAGCACATAGTAAACAGAGGGTAATCATTTGTTGAAGGAACAAGTGATCTTCCCAACGGTAGTCAAGCCCATTAAATGAGGAGAGCAGTTTTCATCAATCATTCACTTAACAACTACTCCATCTGTTATGTGTCAGGCTCTCTATTAACAGATGAAACCAATAAATACTCCCCATATGCCCAAAGTACTAGGGTAGATCAATAGACACGTAATAGTAAAATAATGCCAGAGAGTGGAAACGGGGTAAGAGACACAAAACGTGACATAAGATCACTTTATGCGGAGAGAGGGGTTACTTCCAGTTAGGAGAGTCACGGAAGGTGGAAAAGGCAACATTTGGGCAAGATTTTGTGTGGAAGAAGAAAATGAAAAATGTTAATGAAACATAAAGACATGTGATTTTGAAATCAGACTCCCAATATGTACAATTATTTCAGGTTCTGGGAAAGATTTGAGGCAGTTTTTGTGGATATTCATTTAACTAGAAACTGAAGAAAAATAGTAAAAAACTAAACACACATTATGTAAAAATCACAGAATAAATATTTAACCTAATCTCCACCCTATGATAATCTAACACCATGAACTTCATTACACAAATACTCCTTACTGAGGTATAAATATTTTAAACACCAATTTCTCTGTAAGGGTGAGGCATAACTTCTATGGAAACAGGAATATATGATCTCAAATGCTCTTCCCAACTCTTATCTGGACTTCCTCCTCCTTTTAACCAAAGTTCACTGGCTGATAAATAATATAACAGTGCAAATAAATAACTCACCTTGACCAGAAGCCAAAGGACTTAAAGGTCTTTTAATTGTCTGTGGCCTAGAAACAAAAGAATTAAATTGTAAAATATAATTATGTTACCTATCTTGTTATAATTATCTAAGTAAAAGTGAAATTATCTCAGAGAACTGCTTAATGACTACATCCAAAATCAAACTGTTTTAAAAACACTGAGCTTATAAAATATTTAGTTTTCTCTAATTACTTGTTTTAGCAATAGTTTCTGATCTTTTCCCATTGTAGCAGCCAGAAAGCCATTTCCTAATCACTTCTTCAAACAAAGGAAGAAAACACCAGTTAAGCTCTTCTCCTAGTCACTAATGTTTTTACATATATTACATGTACACATATGTGTGTTTGCATGTGGCACAAAGCGCACTCCTGACTGAAAGACAAACAAGCAAGAAATATAAATACCCAAACCAAGCATGAAAAGAAAAAGGGGAAAAAGCACTGTGGGTAGATTATTTTCCACTTAGTTAACCTTATGTATGTCAACTGACCCTGTGGCCACCAAGTTTGTTATGATTTCAATAAAAGGTATTTTTTAATATAAAAAAAGAGTCAAAATGTCACTGAAGTGCCTTTAAATCTCAAACTAAATATTCATTAGTATCATTAGTAAAATGTAGGGATTGCTTTGTCTGCAATTTGAATTTTATGAACTCTCACAACTTGAGACATTTTGAGAACAGAACATGTAAGCTATATATTTTTTTTTAATGTTTTATTTATTTATTCATGAGAGTCAAAGAGAGAGAGAGAGAGAGAGAGGCAGAGGCAGAGGGAGAAGCAGGCTCCCCGCCTAGCAGGGAGCCCGATGCGGGACCCGATCCCAGGACCCTGGGATCATGACCTGAGCCGAAGGCAGACGCTTAACCATCTGAGCCACCCAGGCGCCCCAGAACATGTAAGCTATATTTTAACATACTGAATTTTGTGCCTCATATATTGTTTATATATTAGAAATATTTATACTGGGAATCATAATAAAAATTGGTTAGGAAATAGCTACAGTACAAATATAAAATCTAACAAATGCTTCAGTTGGACTCTATTTTAGTTCATATTAAAAACAACAACAACAAAAACAAAAAACCAACAACCTTTAGGGGTGCCTGGCTCAGTCAGTAGAGCATGCAACTCTTGATCTTGGGGTTGTAAGTTAGAGTAATCTCTAACTTACACCAAGTTGGGTGTAGAGATTACTTAAAAATCTCTAACTTACACCAAGTTGGGTGTAGAGATTACTTAAAAATCTCTAACTTACACCAAGTTGGGTGTAGCGATTACTTAAAAATAAAATCTAAAGCAAAACAAAACAAAACAAAAAACCTTTAAAGTAAGCCAATTAAGTCAAACATTCCTAATAATAAACCAGGGAATTTAAATGAAACACATGGCAGAAATGAGTAAATAATGAAAATTCTCCACTTCAAAACTGGAGAAATTCTTCAAATCAAAAAAAAGAAAACAGACTTGGGCGCCTGGGTGGCTCAGTTGGTTAAGCGTCTTCCTTTGGCTCCAGTCATGATCCCAGGGTCCTGGGATGGAGTCCTGCATCGGGCTCCCTGCTCCATGGGGAGCCTGCCCCCTTCTCTCTCTCTCTCTGTCTCTGTCTCTCTGTGTCTCATGAATAAATAAATAAAATCTTTAAAAAAAAGAAGAAACAGACTTGACACTTTATTGGTGTAAGCATAATTGCTAATCTCTTATACTTATATTTGACTTATGCAAAGTGAAATGTATTATTACCGTTATCTGGGAACTCCAAAGATTTTCTCAGAATTCCCCCCACCTCTGAGATGGTATAATGCAAATGCACACACAAATTCCTTCCAAAAACCAATAAGCACATTGGTTAGAGGCCAGTGGTTTATAAGAGGCAGGTAAACTTGAAGCATGTCCCAGTCACACAGTGATGAAACTATTTCTATTGTAGCAGTAAGAGTATGAAGTGGGTTCTTCCACTTACTAGATTTTTGACACTGGAAAAATCATTTAACCTTTGCAAGTCTCAAGTTTCTCCATCTGTAAACAGTGATGACTACAACACAGGGCTATTGCAGGGACTAAAAGAGAAAATGTATGTACCATGCTTAGCACAAGTCTGGCACACAGTGAGTGTTCAAGTGTTACTTATTATAATTATTCTCTGAAATTAATTTAACTTGAACTTGAAAGCAGGTAAAATAACCAGAGCCTCAAAAGATGAACACAGAGCACCAAAAAGAGATTTAGGAGTCTTTACTACTATTCTTTACTACTAAGAATATGATCCTGGGAAATGAAGTAAACCTGGCTGGCTCTAGGTTATTTCATCTATAAAATGAGATTCTATAATCCACTGGAGAAACACCTGTGAAATGTCTACAATACTCCCATAAAAGTCTTATACTATTCTATGTCTTTTATTTTTTTCTATGTCTTTTATTTTTTTTAAAGATTTTTTATTTATTTTTCTATGTCTATGTCTTTTAAAGAAGAAAAAAATATTTGTGGAAACTCATGTCCCCATGTTTCCCCAGAGGAGAAGTGGATTAATGAATAAGCATGTTTCTATGTCCAGATGCATCCTTTAACAAAATGAATGTGATTTGCAATTTAGAGTCATTATTAATTGTTTATTTGTTTATAAATAAAAATCACTCTATATGTCAGGATTTTCTAAGTGAAAAGGACACATACTTAAAACAGTTTTCTTCATAGATGACGTTCCAAATCTTCCAAGCATCTGGCCCCTTGTAACCCGTGTAGCGCTCGGGATTAAGGAGCAAATCTACATATTCAGCATCAGGAGATTGTATGTCTGTAAAATGAAATGTTCCATTAAATCTTTTTCTTCAGTTACCTTAAAAAACTAGTATAATAGACTATATTCCACTGATTCTAAGGCACCACAAATATAACAGTGCATCCAAACTTTAAAAACAACCTTTTACAAGAAAGATGAGAGAGAAAAGAGGAAGGCACAAATAGACACATTAAATGTACTCACTGGTTGCAAAAGCATCCTGCTTTTAAAAATGGTAAAAAATAGGAATATGTAAATTTTAGAATAGAAGAAACATGGTAATTTAATTCTGATAAGCTATCCAGATGAAAAATATACTATATATTTCCCTCCACATTAACTGCAAGCAGTTCCTCAGTAACTAGGATCAATGAAGATGTATTACTACCAGACACTGTTTATTACCAAAAACTTCCTTCTTACATGACCACCATCAAGATCCACTACAAAGCTGTCCCAAAGGTATAATCCTAAACATGCAAAAAATTATAAGCAGGATGATACTTGCATCAGCATTATTTATTAAAGGGAAAATTAGAAGCAACCTAAATGTCCAACAGCAGCACATGGGGCTCTGGAGCCAGAGTGCCTGGGTTAGAATCCAGGCTCTACTACTCATTCAGGGTGGAACCTGGGGCAAATCACATATGTTCTCGAAGCATTGGTACCATCATTTATAATATGGAAATAATACTCAGTGTTACTGTGAGACTTAACTAAGTTTATATGTGCAAAGTGCTGAGAACCACGGTACGAGTATAACACATATTAGCTAGTGGTATTATGAGATATCTTAACAGGACATTTTACAATCAACAAAACTGTTAAGTACAAATGCTATCTAATAAAATGAAAAGATAAGAATTATAGAAAAGTTAATTACAGATACCAATGAAAAAACATACAAAAATTGGTGAGATACTGGTTTCTCATATGTTCTATAAATTTGTGTAATGGATTATAACTTTGAAACAAAAAAATGTCCCCTCGTTCTCCAATGGCTTTGGGAAATTATTTAATATACAGTAATACCTTCCTCATTTATAAAGCTTAACAACAGGAACCAACAAAAAATGAAGTGGGCAAAAAAGCAACCAAAGTAGATGACAAAAATCTGGGCACACAGGTACTTATAAGGAAGTCCATCAAGCTCTCAAAAGTACCCACCTTTTTTTTTATGAAATTCAATTTTTTTTTTTAAGATTTTATTTATTTTTTGACAGAAAGAGAGACAGCAAGAGAGGGAACACAAGCAGGGGGAGTGGGAGAGGGAGAAGCAGGCTTCCCGCTGAGCAGGGAGCCCGATGCAGGGCTCGATCCCAGGACCCTGGGATCATGACCTGAGCCGAAGGCAGACGCTTAACAACTGAGCCACCGAGGCGCCCCAAAAAGTACCTACTTCTTATTAAAAACACAATGACAAAAACAAAAATAAAACTAAGCTTGGCTATTTTTATCCCAATTGACAGTATATTAGAGACATAAATTAGGGGAAATTTTGCTTCTAGAAATAGCACAGTGACAGCATCTAGAAATAACTGAGAGTCCATGCAGAAGTGGCAATTAAAATAACTAGAAAAAGTAGAAGTAAAAACTTAAAAACAGGGGCACTTGGCTGGTTCAGGCAGTAAAGCATATGACTCCTGATCTTGGGGTTGTTAATTTAAACCCCAGGCTGGGTATAGAGATTACTTTAAAAAAAAAAAAAACAAAAAACTTAAAACAAATTTGTATGGGATCCTCTGGTTCAGGAACAGATACTCCTGTTTATCTCAACTAATACTCAAAAGTATTGCCACAGTATAGCAAATTAGGATAAATTCATAAAAAATAGCCCTCATTTTTAAAACATATAAATAATGCTCAGCATCTAGTACTTTAAGACTGAAAACAAATTACCAATAATTAAATTTTTAATATTCTGCCTAATTAGGCATAAATATTAGTTGACTCATAATTTTACTTATAACAAATACTTCATCTTGCCTCAACTTTTTAATAAAAAATAATTATTACTGGGGCGCCTGGGTTGGCTCAGTCGGTTAAGTGTCTGCCTTTGGCTCAGGTCATGATCCCGGGCTGCAATGGAGCCCCACATTGGGCTCGCTGCTCAGCAAGGAGTCTGCTTCTCCCTTTCCCTCTGCCCCTCCCCACCACTTGTGTTCTCTCTCACTTGCTCAGAGTAAATAAATAAAAAATTTTTAAAAAACTGTTACTATAGCCATATTTTGTCAGATGACAAAAGCTCAAATTTCTAATTAAAATTTACAAAATACCTTCTGTCTTCTACCTACCATTTACATACATTATATCTTCCTTATAAAGCTATCCTTTTTTTCTTTTAATATTCACCCTCCTTTAACAGAAGAAACAAATATAAAGGGACAAGTGATTCCAAGATAACAGAACTCCACCAGATAAAAATTATTGATTCTCAGTCCTTCCTACACAAATATAAGCAGGTAGTCTCAAAAGTACACTTTGATAAACGAAGTTAAAGTATTACTGTTCTTTCTCTAACACTGCAGGTCTAAAAAAAATGTGCTGCATGTTAAAAGTTTAATTTTATCTCATAGTAATATTCAGGCCAAAGAATCCTTGTGAAAAAGATGGTAAAGTTAAGGGGCTGGGAGAGCATTTTACCCCCCTTCTACACTAGTCTAAACCTTGGTGTAAGTCCACAACTCCTTATCCAACATCCCTGGGGCCAAATGTGTTTTGGAATTCAGAACTTTTCAGATTTTAGAAAAGTATTATAGCATATGCAACAATATACTGAATAATTACTCCAGCAGGGACTGGGGCAGCAACTTCTAATCAAACACCAAAAATATTTCTGTAGTGAAACAAGTGAATGTTCACACTAAATGAGTCTGTGCTAAACTTAGGGGGAAAATACTCATTTTTCAGAGTTTTCAGATTTGGGAATTAGGAATAAAGGATTATAAATATTATTCACCAAGGCATAACCATGTTTTACATTAAGGAAAGCATATGTTTCTTTTTTTCCCCCCAAAATGAAACCACAAAGTTAAAAATAAGTACTTTCTCTTTGCCTTCCTCTTTTTTGGAGGGAATTGCAGGATTTGTCTCTCACTTGCAATGAAAATGATCTATGTTATTCTTTTTGCTTATTTTTTTTTTTTAAGATCATTAATCTGCTTCAAAAGAGCCACTGGAGGATACCAAAACTCAGTTTGATTTGATTTTGATTAGCCAATTAAAAGGCTAACAATTCAACTTAGAAAAAGGAAAAATAGGGGAATCCATAAATCTGAATAAAGGGTTCTAATGGGCCTTAGGGCTCCCGGATTTGAACAGTACCAGAACTCTGGCCCCAGTTTCCCATATCTCAGATACAACTCATGGTTCATTCTTCTCTTTTCCAAAAGCAACACACACCATCATCAAGGAAAATATGTAACAACCCAAGGCCAGTACAACAAAAGCAAGTTTTTACAATCTCAATCTCTACATTTGAGCTATTTATGCAAAATGTGTATATTACAAAAATAATATATATATTTTATATATTACTGAGATACAAAAAACTGTAACACTCAGACTCAGGAGGTAAATTTTTTCCAGAAACTGAGGGTTTGTTGTTTTTTTTTAACTGCGGTAAAATGTATATAACGTAAAACTTACCATTTTAACCATGTTTAAAAGTACAATCCAGTGACGTTAATTATATTCACAACATTGTACAACCATCACCACTAACTGTTTCCAAACTTTTCTATGACCTGAAACAGGAACTCTAACCATTAAACAATAACACCCCATTCTCCCCTTCTGCTAATCTCTGGTTACTCTGTGAAACATACAATAGTTGTCCTTTTGTGTCTGGCTTATTTCATTTAGCATAGTATTTTCAAGGTTTATCCATGTTGCAGCACATATCAAAACTTTGTTTATGGCTAAATAATATTCCATTGTATGTATTTATTACACTCTGTTAATCCATTCATTTGTTGATGGATATTTGGGTCATTTCTACCTTTTTTTGTGAAAAATGCCACCACAAATATGGGCATACAAGTATCTGTTTCCCTGTCTTCGATCTTTTTCGGTACATATTTAGCAGTTGAATTGTTAGGTCATATGGTAATTCTGTCTTTTGCTTTTTGAGGAACTGCCAAACTTTAGAAACTGAGGTCTAAAAACCATTTTAAAAGATTTTTTTTTTCAGGGGCGCCTGGGTGGCTCAGTCAATTGGGTGCCTGCCTTCGGCGTGGGTCATGATCCCGGGGTCCTGGGATCAAGCCCCGCATTGGGCTCTCTGCTCGGTGGGGAGCCTGCTTCTCCCTCTCCTTCTGTCTACCACCCTGCCTACTTGTGCTCTCTGTCAGATAAATAAATAAAAAATCTTTAAAAAAAAAAAAAAGATTTTTTTCCCTTACACCCAATTTTAAACAAAATGCATACTATAAAAAATGTTATACCATCAGCTTCACAGAAGTTGTCTGAGGAATCATCATGCTTGGTCCACTGAAGAACAGCCTTCTGCGTTTCCTCACTTCAAATAAAGAAAACAGGTACAGTTATCCCTTTTTTCTAAGTTACCATTTCACAAGAAAAAAAATACTACTGCAAAAAAAAAAAAAATCAAACCTCAGAGATTCATCCACAGCTCCAAGTCGTTCAGCTTGTTCACATTCTTCAATGAGATTATTGGCTACCTCAGAATACTAAAAGGAAAACGAGAATAAACAGATTACAACTTACTGCATTTTAAAAACTTTTTAAAAGAATTTCGAAGTTATTTGAAGTTCTTTTATACCTAGCACCATTTCCTTGGCTTTAAAACTTAAAAAAAAAATTAAGCCCTCACATCTCCCCTGAAGCTTTTAAAAATAAAGACATAAAAGGCTTTGTCCCTTGTTTTTGTTGGTGAACACATTTACTATATGGTCACAAAATAAAGAATATACTTCTGATAACTCCTTACCAAGCTGTTCGCTAAGAAAATCTCTGAGGTCTAAGGAACACTAGGCAAAGCATCATGAGGTAATGTCCCACTTTTTTTTTTTTTCTTTTTTTTCTTAAAGTAGTCTCCATGCCCAGTGTGGAGCCCAGCACAGGGCTCAAACTCATGACCCTGAGATCAAGGCCTGAGCTGAGATCAAGAGTCAGACGCTTAACCAACTGAGCCACCCAGGTGCCCCAATGTCCCACTTTTCTAATGGCCTAATTGGAAGCATCAGTTTTCTCTTCCATAAATAACTGGTTGGACCAGATGTTGTGTGTCTAGGTCCATCTCAACTCTAAATGCCATGATTCTAAATATGCCCTGGGGCCCACCAAGTCTTATAAAAAGTATTCAAATATCTTTAGGTGTTTAAAATATATTCTTTAACCACTTCCTTCTCAACATCTAAGCCTTACACACAGGCACACATGCGCGTGCACACACACATTATTCTGCTAGGCATGTATGTTGCACAGCGGAAGTGAATGTAGATCATAAGATTTCACAACACTGAAAGATAACACTGGAAGCAGAAGGCACAGATTCAATCACTCAACAAATATTTATTGAGTGCCCTTATTGTTAGGATGACCATACTAATGACTGCCCGGCCTATCACACTTCCAAGGATAAAAGGGAACCCTAAGATAACTGAAATGATACAATTTTTTGAAATATTTATTTACCGAACAACAACTCTGTTTCGTTACATTGGTTGACCTATAAGACAGTTCAATTCCAACACTATTTTTTTTCAAAGATTATTTATTTATTTGACAGAGAGAGAGAGAGGACAAGTAAGCAGAACAGCAGGGAGAGGGAGAGGGAGAAGCAGGCTTCCCGCTGAGTGGGGAGCCCGATGCGGGGCTCGATCCCAGGACCCTGGGATCATGACCCGAGCCGAAGGCAGATGCTTAACTGACTGAGCCACCCAGGCGCCCCCCAACACTATTTTCAAAACTAAAATTCTTTCTACATAATTAAGTATTAAGGGGATATGATATATTCAATCTACTCTCAAATGGTTCCAAAAATAAGAATATGTATATATGTATACAGAATATGTATATAGAAATACGTATATAGAAAAATGAAGCAAAATACTAAAAATCAGTGAATCTGTAGAGTACACAAAATGTCTTTATACTAACCTTGCAACTTTTCTACAAGCTGTTAATTAGCTTAAAAAGTTAAAAATATGTATCAAAAAATGAACAGAATTTGTTCAAAAAATGACATACCTATGTACATTAAAACAAAAAATTTTAAAACCTTATCATTATAACTATATGATCATTAAAACATAAGTTAAACAAAATATTCTTTGGGGTTTTTTTTTTACTATTCTTTGTTTCTATTTAAAAATTTGTTAAGTCACATATGTCTCAATTTTATATCACTGGCATTTTTCTGAAGAAATTTTTTCAGTTTCTTATTTTTAATTTTTCATAAAACTGCCCATAATCTTCTTCAAAGTTAATTTTTATGGCCAATTTGAAATCATCTATACCTTCAATTAGCTCTTCCCTGCATTTATAATTTTTAATTGAGAAAAATATTCTCTCTACAGGTAAAGATGTGAAACTATTTTAAAATACCAAATTATTTTCAGAAGGTCTGTTCTTTTGCCTCCAAAGTATGTTTCTTCACTAAATATTTTAAGACAAAACTCATCAAATAATTTTTTTTATTTTAAATGTTTTGCTTAATATAGATGCTACAAAATTGTAAGCCTTCTTATTTCATTTCAGATGAGAATATAAACTTATCCAAATAAAAACACGAGTTTCATCAAGAAGAGACTCTTCCCACAAGAGGAGATACTCCAAAACACAATTATAAAATGTCAGAATTAAACCTTACAACACCATTTGAACTTTCGCCACCTAATGTGTTCAATCCCTTCCTAGCTTTCGTAGGAATAAATTTCAGTGTGTTTGTTTACAAGCTTTATTATAATAACTGCAATTTGCTAAACTTTCAAAAGCTAAGAATATTTTTCTTTAAGCATTCCATTCATTGATACTTTGAATAATAATTTTCCACTGATTTTAAACATATAGTAATAGACATTTAGAGATCTCACTTATTAGAAATTAGTTAATACCACTGAAGGACTCTTGGGTTGTTTTACAAAATAGTCTTCAAAAGCTCAAACATTTATAAAAGATGGACAGCAAAGAAGGTACTCCTGTCCATGCCAAAGTAATATTTTCTTCAGTATTAGCTTCACCTCAAAAATTTTATGGTCATTAAGTGTATATATAAATATGAAAACCTGTACATTTTGACAATTACCACTTCAACCTTAATTGGTAAAATATCACAGCATGTTTGGACACAATTATGAATTATGTGTATATCTTTTTTTTTTTTAGGTGATCTCTACACCCAATGTGGGGCTTGAACTCACAACCCCGAGATCAAGAGTCACATGCTCTACTGACCAAGCGCCAGCCAGGTGCCCTTGAATTATGTGTATATCTTAACCAACTACAAATTCATTTCTGCTCCACAGATTTCTTGATTTAGTCAGAACTGTTTTTGCCAAAACTTGTATATTATCACCACACAACAAATATTTTGTCTTCAGTTTCGAGCTTGAAATGAATTTATAATGGCATTCACAACAGGGACAAATGTTTTCCCTCAACAGCATGGACTTCAAAAAGTTTTGATGATGAACCATGTGCAAAGTTCTGCCATTGGAGCCAACACATTAATAGCTATGACTTCATCCTTTGTGAACAAGAAAACATGGACGGGGCCACCTGGGTGGCTCAGTTGGTTAAGCGTCTGCCTTCAGCTCAGGTCATGATCCTGGAGTCCTGGGATCGAGTCCCGCATCGGGCTCCCTGCTCAGCAGGGAGTCTGCTTCTCCCTCTGACACTCCTCCCTCTCACGCTGTCTCATTCTTTCTCTCTCAAATAAATAAATAAAAAAAAAAACATGGAATCAAAAATGAGCAAAATTACTTCAGAATCTATGGTGGAAAAAGTGAATAGTGGTTGCCCCTGGAGGAAAAAGTAGAAATTGATTGGGACAGGGTATCATGTAACTTTCTAGGGTGATGGTAATGTTCCCTATTATAACAGAAGCATAGATTACACAGGTATATGCATTTAGCATATGCGCACTTAAGATTTGTGCATCTCATTGTATGTTAACTTTATAAAAAATACATATAAGGAAATATTGGACTCTGGTTAATGATATACTTCTACTTGTGTGTATATATATATAGTTGATGACACATTTAAGGCAATGCACACTGACGCTTGCAATTTACTTTGAAATACATCCAGAAAATATTTTTTCATGGATAATTAGAAAGATAGACACATATGAGATAATGTAAGTTTACAAAATGTAAATGGTAGAATCCAGGTGATGGGTATGACTGTTCACAGGAAAATTCCTTCAACTTTGCTGTATATATGAAAATTTTCATAACATCAGAAAATTTTAATTTAGAACAGTTATTTAGTCTAAATGAAAAATCACATATATCAGAATGATACATAAATGCACCACTGCATCTACACATTAAGTTGTTTTTTTAAAAAAACATTTTATTTATTTATTTTTTTGAGAGAGTGTACCCATGAGCATGGGGGAGAGGGGGGAGCAGAGGAAGAGAGAATCTCAGACTCCCTGCTGAGCATGGAGCCGAACACGGGGCTGGATCTTACCACCCTGACATCACAACCTGAGCAAAAACCAAGAGCTGGATGCTTAACCAACTGTGCCACCCAGGAGCCCCAAGTTATCATTTTTAAACAGTTTTCATAACCACTAATTTACAAAGTAGATGCTTAAACTTTGTCAGTAGATTTGTGTATTCTGGCGTTCATACGGTCAGAGATATTTCTATGGCCTTGTGGATGGTAAATCATGACCTTTCATGCAAGTTATATATCATCAACTGTTGTGAGAAATCAAAATTTAATACTTTCTCATTAAGCATGTGCTTCTTTTCTTTCTTAGTTATTTCGGCCAAAAGGATTCACTGTAAAACATTTTTTAATTACTAAATAGTAAAATCATTTTAAGTTGTTGATTTACGTTATACCAAAAAAATAAAACCACTATAGGAAGACTACTCTTTCTATGCAGGATTGCTTACCCTTTTTTTCCCATATATATATTTAATAAACTGGACCTATAATTTGCCAGGTTTAACACTGACCAGTCAAATGGCATCCTGGAAGCTTAGGACAAATCACAGGTATGATACAGCCCACAGCACAATTGGCTGATAAGTCCAAGAGACCAGCCGGACAGAATGTCCAATGATGTTCTGTTTCCCCAACTTCCCAAGACTATAAGGAGTTAGCTGTCCCCAGCCATTGTGTCTGCCTGCAATTAGCTTATCAGCAGGTATTTTATCACCCAGTATATTTTCCTTGAAAAATCATTTATTTATATCTAGAAAAGGTCAGAAAAAGAAGCACAAGTTATTACTGGTCATCTTGGTGTTAAAGTAAGAACTCTTTAGTGTACATACATCTCAAATAGAGAAGACACCAGAGGAAGCTAGAAATACAAAGTATTTGGTCAACCAGATCCATTTTAACTTATTTTAACACAACTATTAATATTTCATTTTATAAAAATTTAAAACTCAGGACAAATGATAAATCATTCAGGATGCCAGAACAACAGGCATAAACCAGTTCTGCCTAAGGCAAACCGTGGCATATGGTCTCTTGATGTACTCTTGTTACTCTCTAAGTCCTTTGGATTTTACTCCAAGACAGATGGAGCACATGAGAGGATTTTCAACAGAGGAGAGATAAGACCTCATTTCTTAAAAAAAAAAAAAAAAAATCACTCTCCAGCTCCTGGGTGGCTCATTTGGTTAAGCGTCTGCCTTCCGCTCAGGTCATGATCTCAGGGTCCTGGGATTGAGCCCCGCATCAGGCTCCTGGCTCAGCGGGGAGTCTGCTTCTCCCTCTGCTCCTCCTCACCGCCCGCCCCCCCGCATCAAGCTCATGCTTTCTCTCTTTCTCTTGCGCTATCTCAAATAAATAAATAAAATCTTAAAAAAAAAAAATCACTCTGGCTGCCGTCTTGAGAAGAGACAATAGAGAGGCAAGGGCAGAAGGAGGCATGCCATGAAGAGGCTACTACAATAATCCAGGCAAAAAGTGATGATGGCTTTAAATATGGCCGTAGCAATAAAGATTATAAGATTCTGGGTACATTTTAAAACTCTGTAATTAGGGCGCCTGGGTGGCTCAGTCGTTCAGCGGCTGCCTTCGGCTCAGGTCATGATCCCAGGGTCCTGGGATCGAGCCCTGCATCAGGCTCCCTGCTCAGTGGGGAGCCTGCTTCTCCCTCTCCCTCTCCCCCTGCCTGTGTTCCTTCTCTTGCTATGTCTCTCTGTCAAATAAATAAATAAAATCTTTAAAAAAAAACAAAACAAAACAGGGTGCCTGGGGGGTTCAGTTGGTTAAGCGACTGCCTTTGGCTCAGGTCATGATCCCGGAGTCCTGGGATAGAGTCCCACATCGGGCTCCTGGCTCAGCGGGGAGCCTGCTTCTCCCTCTGATCCTCTCCCCTCTCATGCTGTTTCTCTCTCTCTCTCTCTCATAAATATATAAATAAAATCTTTAAAAAAACAAAAACAAAAACTCTGTAATCACAAACTGAATTTGGCCTACCAAAAAAGGCCTTGAAACAATAACAACCCAGTAACAACTAGCACCCCCCAGGGCCCAGATTATAATCTCTAAATACCATTTCCCACTAAAAGAAATAGGACTCCTTAGGGGAAAAAAAAAAAAAAAGCCTGGAGTAAGAAAGGTACAAAACTAGCCTAGAAGCTCTTTTCATAATAGAAAGCAAAAAGTCTACTAAGACTAGTGGGATCATCTTAAAAGACCATAATTACTAACTGGAAGGAGCTGCTAGTAGCCAAAGACAGAACAACTCAAGCATCAAAAGGAAGAATAAAAAATGACTACAGTAGAGTCCAATTCATAAAATATGTCAAAACTTTTTTAATTTTATTTATTTATTTGACAGAGAGATAGAGAGAGCACAAGTAGGCAGAGTGGCAGGCAGAGGGAGAGGGAGAAGCAGGCTCCCCGCTGAGCAGGGAGCCCGATGTGGGGCTCAATCCCAGGACCCTGGGATCATGACCTGAGCCGAAGGCAGACACATAACTGACTGAGCCACCCAGGCACCCCAATATGTCAAAACTCTTAGTTCAAAATAACACTTAAAGATAAAAACCTTATTGGGCATCTTTGGAGGTGCTAGGGCACCAAACCCATAATTATTCTGAAAACTGGTAAACAAAGGAAAACAATTAAGCATTTATCCTGTCTGTCCTGTATAAACTGTATTTCAGGGCGTCCAAATAGTTGACAAGAAAAGATCTTTATAGAATAATAACAGATAAGTATAGAAAGAATGATACAATTAGAGTATCAGCATTTTCAAAACCCTAATGAAAGAATGCAACTAGGTAATAATCATCAAAGCTGCTAAAACTTTCATTGAAAAAGCTAGTAGGGAACTTTATATTGGATGTATAATGAACCTAATGATCGATCTTAACATCATAAGAAAAAAAGAAAACAGACATTATGTGTCTTCTGATATAACAGTAAGTACACAACACTAATCAATACATATCAGAAAATGAATCTGAGGGCGCCTGGGTGGCTCAGTTGGTTGAGCGACTGCCTTCAGCTCAGGTCATGATCCTGGAGTCCCGGGATCGAGTCCCACATCGGGCTCCCTGCTCAGCAGAGAGTCTGCTTCTCCTTCTCACCCTCCTCCCTTTCATGCTCTCTGTCTCTCATTCTCTCTCTCAAATAAATAAATAAATCTTTAAAAAAAAAAGAAAATGAATCTGAAAAGCCGTAATACATAACTGCCAGTTTATAGAAAATAATGTGTTGAATGATGTGACGGGGATACAATCAACTAAAACACAATATGGAAAATTCTATAGGACGAGGACTCATTTCCTTCAACACATAAGTTTGCAAAGAAGAAAAAATAAGAGGGAATGAACATGGGTTAAAAGAGACTGAAGAGACAGAAATACGCAAATAGTGCCAGAAAATAAGGAAGTGCTGAAGAAAGAGAAAAACCACAATGATGGGAGTATATCAAAGGGACATAGGACCAACTGAAACAGCTCCGAGTGGCCAAATAAGAATGATTTGAACAGTAAAATGAAGTTGTACTGATTATAATCCAGAGTAGAAAATAAACATCCATAAAGACTTATCTGAGAATGGCTTTAAAATAATTGGGAAAATGGAGCACGAGGTAGACAAAACAAGATTGACCACAGACTAATAATTGCTGAAGCTGGGTGATGGGTTTTTTACTTTTATCTCTCATGCTTTCCATAATAAAAGGTTGAACAAAAGGAAAAAATAAAGAATTGGAGTCACTAAGTACAAATGACTCTCCAGGGGTTTCACTGTGAAAGGAGAGCAGGAAGTGGGGTCGTACCTGGAAGGGGGAAATGAGTTTTACGAGTTTTTTGTTAAGATACCAGACACATTAGTAGGTATATGTACATACCTTGTAGCTTGCAGATTTAATTCCATCAGGAACTTCATCCTGAAAAAAGAAAAAAAATGCTTTTATCAGATATTTATTCTATCTTCTGAAAAAGTTAAGTTTCTATAATTTATGAGATTTTTATTTTTTTAAAGTTTATTTTATTTATTTAAGGAATCTCTACACCTGTCGTGGTGCTCGAACTCATGACCCTAAGATCAAGAGTCACATGCTCTTCCAACTGAGCCAACCAGGCGCCCCTATGAGATTATTTTTAAACTGAGAATGGTTAGGCAGTTTTTATATTACTTCTTAAAAGTAAACAAAACCCAACAACAAATTATTGTATAGGTTGCTGATCATATATTTTATTACTTATATAATAGCATGGAAATGTAAAAATAGTCACTCCTTTTGATGCTCAAATTGTCCCACATTGGCAACCAGGGGACCCACAAAGTGCTAACTTGATATCTACACCTGTGTCCTATTGATAGGATCCCAGTAATCTTTAGAGCACTTTTTGTTTTCTGTTATGACAAGATACTCCAGGTTCACCTTGTATATTTCTTTTTTTTTTTTTTACAGATTTTATTTATTTATTTGAGAGAGAGAGAGAGAAAGAGAGCGCATGAGTTGGGGGGAGGGGCAGAGGGAGAAGCAGACTCCCCACTGAACAGGGAGCCCCATGCGGGGCTCGATCCCAGGATCCCAGCATCATGACCAGGGCCAAAGGCAGCTGCTTAACCGACTGAGCCATCCAAGCACCCCACCTTGTATATTTCTTGTTCCAGTCTTGGAATCAAATGTTTAAGGAGCCCTAGTTCTTTTCAGAGGAAAACGGCACTGGTTTTTAGTCGTGTGTTGGCCACTTACCAACTATAGGACCTATCTGTCTATCCTCAAAGTGATGCTGTGAATAGACATAATGATGTATGTACTCTGTAAATTGTAGGGCCCTATTCCAGTGCTAAGTATATTTCTGAAATAGATTATATCTGCCCAAAGGGAAGGACCCACACAGAGATAATCACTTTATTGTGTAACTTTCCAGACTTTGAACTACCTCAATGTATAATTCTTTTTCTAAGACCAAATATTTAGATGGTTTCTAATTTTTTCATATCATGCCAAATTCATAAACTAATTTTAGCAGAATTGACACCTTTACAATATTTATTACTGCTTTATGGTCATCTTTGAACATCTGTCCAATTATTTTAGTAAGTGAAAATCCTGGTGGAATTGCTAGACCAAAAGATGCGTACCTTTTTAATTTTGTTGATACATTTGCTGAACTGATCTCCAAAAGGATTTAATGACACAAAGTGCTCATTTCTTATTCACAGACTAACACTGGATGTTGTTATTCACCTGCACATTAGTCAATTAATAATGGAGGCGAAAGAATGTTGTTTTGACCCATTGTAAAGGTAATAAATAAATGGTCTTTCAGTTTATAGAGAGATTCCAGGTTGTGAGTTCAAGCCCCACATTGTGTGTAGAGATTACTTAAAATAAAATGTTTAGGGATGCCTGAGTTTCTGTCAGTTAAGCACCTGACTCTTGATCTCAGCTCAGGTCTTGATCTCAGGGTCATGAGTTCAAGCCCTGAAAAAAAAAATGTTAAAAAAAATTTGCTTAAAAAAAAAAAAAAGATGAGAGGAACCTGGGTGGCTCAGTCAGTTAAATGTCTGCCTTTAGCTGAGGTCATGATCCCAGGATCCTGGGATCAAGCCCCACAGTGGGCTCCCTGCTCAGCAGACAGTCTGCTTCTGCCTCTCCCTCTGCCCCTACTCCCTGTTTGTGTGCTCTCTCTCTCTCTTGCTCTCTCTCTCTTTAGCTTGTTCTCTCTCTCAAATAAATAAAATCTTAAAAGAAAAGAAACATGAAAAAAAAAGATGAGATTCAAATTTTCAATAATTGTAAAACCACTTGCCTGCTCTTGCATGTTTAGTAAGTCATACATAAGTTCTTTGTAAACTTGAATTCCCCCAACTAATGTTTCCTATTACTAAATATAAATGCTAGAACTTAGGAAATAAAATGAAACATTTAAACTGATGATATCACTTAAATGATATTTTCATAACAGAGGTTGGTTCACAAGTTAATTCTTGAATTTTCAAAAAGTTTTGTCTGTGAGGATGAGTATAACTAAAGACCTGATTCTCGGGGCGCCTGGGTGGCTCAGTTGTTTCAGCATTTGCCTTGGCTCAGGTCATGATCCCAGGGTCCTGGGATCGAACCCCGCATTGGGCTCCCTGCTCAGTGGGAAGCCTGCTTCTCCCTCTCCCTCTGCTGCTCCCTCTGCTTGTTCTCACTCTCTCTCTCTGTCAAATAAATAAAATCTTTAAAAAATAAATAAATAACTAAAGATATTATCTAATGATAAAATACCCATAATATATATATCCATAAATAATATTTTTACATTTGCTTTACTTCCATATGCTGGATAGGTCTATACAGCAATATTTACACACATAAAAATAAACCACTCAAAATCATAGCACCACTTCATACCCATTAGGATGGCTATTAACCAGAAAACAGAAAAAAGCGAGTGTTAGTGAGGATATAGAGAAATTGGAAGCTTGTGCATCACTGGTGGGAATGTGAAATGGTACAGCCACTATGAAGACAGCATGATGTTCCTCAAAAACTTAAACTGAGAACTACCGTACGATCCAGTAATTCTAATGAACCGAAATTAGGAATGCAAGCTGCATACCGGTTCACCCATATCCAGAGCAGCATTATACGCAATAGCCAAAAGATGGGAATAACCCAAAAGCCAATCAATGCGAGAATGCATAAATGAAATGCAGATACACATACAATGCAATATTATTCAGGCTTAAAAAGGAAAAAAATTCAAATACATGCTACTATGGATAAACCCTGAAAACATGTTAAGTGAAACAAGCCAGACATAAAAGGACAAATTCTGTAATAATCCCCCTTATCCGAGGTACCTAGTATAATCAAATTCATAGAGAAAGAAAGTAGCATAGTGGTCACCAAGGGCGAGAGGGAGGGCAGAATAGGGAGTTACTGTTTAAAGAACGTGCAGTTTCAGTTTGAGATCAGGAAACAGTTCTGCAACTGGATAGTGGTGATGGTTGCACAACAACGTGACTGTACTTAATGCCAATAAACTGTACACTTAAAAATGGTTAAAATTGTAAATTTTAGGTTATGCATATTTTAGCACAAAATGTAAAATAGAAATATATGCTTTTAAAGGGAGAAAAAGGCTTTGTTGAAAGTAAAATTCTCTGTTTTCAGAGTAAAATGCTTCAAATTTTAATGTTCTGAGAATTCTTTTTTTTTTAAGATTTATTTATGTATTTATTTGCAGAGAGAGAGAGAGCACGCACAAGCAGGGGGTGCAGCTGAGGCAGAGGGAGAAGCAGGCTTCCCGCTGAGCAAGGAGTCCGATGCGGGACTCGATCCCAGGACCCTGGGATCATGACCTGAGCCGAAGGCAGGCACCCAACTGACTGAGCCACTCAGGCATCCCTATTCTGAGAATTTTTAAGAGGTGTTTTGTCCAGTCCCTCCCCACCCAAGGAAAACAATACACCCATGAAAAAAGAAGGGATTTTGTTTACACTTTGATTAATTTCACTTCGTTATACTATAAACACAACTTTGGGTAAGATGTAAGAAGAAAAACAAACATCAAGCCAAAAGAACTATTAATCTCACTAGTAAATCAAAGGGTTATATTTATCACAAAATTTAAATTCTATGATTATGAAAGCAGAATGATTCAATAATATCTTTTTTTTAAGATTTTATTTATTAACAGAGAGAGACAGACAGCGAGAGAGGGAACACAAGCAGGGAGAGTGGGAGAAGGAGAAGCAGGCTTCCCGCTGAGCAGGGAGCCCGATGTGGGACTTGATCCCAGGGCCCCGGGATCATGACCTGAGCTGAAGGCAGACACTTAACGACTGAGCCACCCAGGCGCCCGAAAGCAGAATAATTCGAAATAGGTTTTATATTAATAAGTTTAGGTTTGGGGTTTCTTTTTTTTTTTAAGATTTTATTTATTTATTTGAGAGAGAGAGCACAAACAAGGGGAGAGAAGCAGGCTCCCCACTGAGCAGGGATCCTGATGTGGGGCTCGATCCCAGGACCCTGGGATCATGACCTGAGCCGAAGGCAGACGCTTAACCATCTGAGCCACCCAGGCACCTAAGTTTAGGTTTTTAACCTGTAAATATTAAACATTATACTTAACCTAAGGATTGAAGTGTTATTTTAGTTGCATTGCCCCCTTTTTAAGAATTGCAATTATTTAGGGACGCCTGGGTGGCTCAGTTGTTTAAACGTCTGCCTTCAGCTCAGCTCAGGTCATGATACTGGGATCGAGTCCCACATGAGGCTCCCTGCTCAGCGGAGAGTCTGCTTCTCCCTTTGCCTGCTGTTCCCCCTGCTTGTGCGCACATGTGCATTCTCCCTCTGACAAATAAATAAATAAAATCTTAAAAAAAAAAAAAAAGAACTGCAATTATTTGAAAAACAATTTAACATGTCTTAAATGTATATGTGGTTCTTACCGACTGACAAGGCTTGACAGCACAGTCTCTTCGCCCACACTGGCTGATATCATTCCAGAAAGGACATGGCCTCTTCAGGTTTACCTACAGGATAACAGAAAAGGTTATACAAGTAAGAATCTTGAGATTATTATTGACAGGCGTTGAATTACAATGATATAACCTGGTCGGGCTATTAGCTGCAGCTTTTCTTTTTCTTCCACTTCCCAGTTGCCAAGTTCCAATGATGTATCAGTGTGTCGCTTTGTAAGTAAAGTGGTAGACTTGCTTAGAAAGACACAGATGCTACTAAACAGACCCTGAACAGATGGTGACTAGGAGCCAGAGTAGCTCACATCATCACTGCTCAAATGATATTCTTTTTACACAGGTAACAGGCATTTGTGAACTCAGATGAGTACTACATACTCCAATGATCAGATATTCTAAACTCTTTCTGTAGATATCTCAAATGACTAGTTAAAATAACACAGGTCAGAATAAAGTCATGCTTCTCAAAAAAATTTAATTATTTTAATTAAGTGGAGTCTACACAGTATTTTAGAAAAGTATGAATTAGCAATTTTGATAATAATATAATAGTTTCTGTTCTGACTTCAATTTAACCAACAAGTTTCTAACTCCAGAGTGCAAAACTGAGTTGTTGAAATTAAAAGTATCCAATGGATGGTTTCAGAACCACACTGTTCACTCTTGTGAACTGAATTTTAAATTATGGCCACAATTTGAAGCTCAGCAATTCCTAAGAAAATGTAGTTATCCATTTATTTTTTTTAAAGATTTTATTTATTTGAGAGAGAGAATGAGAGAGAAAGCACAAGAGGGGGTAGGGTCAGAGGGAGAAGCAGACTCCCCGCTGAGCAAGGAGCCCGATGCGGGACTTGATCCCGGGACTCCAGGATCGTGACCTGAGCCTAAGGCAGTTGCTTAACCAACTGAGCCACCCAGGCACCCCTGTAGTTATCCATTTAAACTTTAATTATTCTTGTATGAAAAAATTAAAAATAAAAATACCTTGTAATATCTAAAGTAGTCGCTTTCAAGAAGTTTTTGTAGTCTCGGGAAAAGCCTGTAGTTATTAAATCTATCGATGGTTTCAACATCACAGGTACAATCATCCAAGTAACCACTAACCTGTTATAAAGAAAATGAAATAATACATCAAAATACTTTAGGTACAACAGGGCTCTTTTTTCTTATGAAGTTATGACTCAACCAACTCTTCTCATCCCTCCTCCTCCTAATTTTCAGAAATGGGGTACAACAGTAATCTAGTAATGCTATTGCTCTTACTGTATACCTAGAGGAATGCAGTGCTGCTCTTTGTAGGGTGTACTGAGCTCATCATCACACACGTGTGCACATACACATATGCAAAGAGTTGGTCCCCTGCAGCCACTCTGTAACCCCACCCCAGGCCTGACCAGGGGTAGGCATCTAACCCAAACCAGGCCATGGTCCCTGCTCCAGGAATCTGGAATTTAGAGTAAGAAGAGATGTCTCTCCCTGCAGTTAGACCACTAAACAAGGAAACTCGGACCATCCGCCATCATGTGAGCCAAGGAGCACATGAGCCAGTTGGCAAGATTTTAAAAGATACACAGGGACGCAGAGATAAGAGATAGAGAACATATGCTACATGGGTTCCCTGGGGGTTTCCGGCGCCTACTTCTCCCCATCTTTCTTGAAGCCCATTTGCATTCCCATTCTTGGCTTTCCTGAGACTCCTATTCCTAAGATTCAATTTTCTCTGTCTTTCCTTTTAGTTTCCAACAGTATGTGTAGTCTGGAGACAAGCTTAGTGAATGTATAAAAACAAGTGATACTGTATTTATAAGAGAAACAATAATTCATTATAAGGATCTAACAAATCTCAAATATTAGGCCATGATAATTTGTCTAGGTTAGAAACAGTGCTTAGAAATCACTTATATTAGCAGCACAGAGATAGCAAATTGATCACAAAGCCAATTCTGATCTTCAAATGCTTAAAACTAACAGTCTTAACTGTAATTACAATCAGACAATGTTATCAGAAGTGAAACTAAAAGTCTTAGATGTTTATTTGGGGCCAGGCATATAACTCACAGAATTAATTATACAATGCAACATTGTAACTAACAAATACATCATGATTTAAGAACAGTAACTAGATTTCTTTTCCTTAAATACAGGGCATGCTGCAGAAAAGAGATCCTTATCATACTTTGGTCTGAATATTTGCATTATAAACTACTTTGAATTATATTTTAGGGAGACTTATTATAAAAAAAATTTTTTTTAATCTACTGGTAAGTAAGCAAATAATACTTCATTGAAATACTGAATGTAGGTGTTTTCCCTTTGGAATACATAAAATCCTGCACTACCTTTCAATTTTAAAACATCACAAAACAGTAATGCAAATTTTTCACCTAAGAGTGAATACGTTTGGGTGACAGATAACACTATGGATGATGACAGCAGTATCTAAGAGCTAAGATTTTATACCAATTTACCTAGTCTTATTTGTTTTGGACTAATTCGGGAACTAGAAATCTCATCTACATATTTTGTTACTGCAATAACTACCTTCATTTCACATGCAAATTTGTCCTTGTTTCCTGCTAAAAATTCTGAGTATATAATAATCTTCGGTTCCTAATTTGGGGTGGTAACAAAACAAAAGTGTTTCTAACCTAGATTATTTGATTTTTCACACCTCTTTCTTTCAAGCATTAAAAACAGAGCTTCTAAGGACATAAAAGAGCTACTGTTTTTCCCCTTGGATACAATTATTATACAAAGAAATAACAGGCACAAAGATTGCAAAGGCCAAAGGGACACATGCCAAATAGAGACATTAGGTCACAAAAAGAAAGCAGCACACACAAAAAACAAGAGAAATGGTTTGAAGCTTATTTTTCCCCTTAAGTAATTCTGGTTTGTTTTTTTTTAAATGTGTTCACCTTTTTTTAAAGATTTTATTTATTTATTTGAGAGAGAAAAAGAACACAGACGGAGAGGGAAAAGCAGACTACCTGCTGAGCAGAGAGCCCAATGCGGGACTCATGACCTGAGCCGAAGGCAGACGCTTGACCGACCAAGCCACCCAGGTGCCCCTTAAGTAATTCGTTTTTAAGGTAAAAATCTATCTTTGAAATTCAAGTTCAAGCATCATCTCCTTCAGAAAGCTACCCCTGGAGTACCACTCAACCCCTGCTTGCTTAACTGTCTCTTCTATGTGCTCCCATGACACTCCACATACTCCTTACAAATTACCTCACTATATTGGGTTTATTTATTTCACTTCCTCCCTCTAGAGTTTAAAATCCTTGAGAGCAAAATCATGTTTGCTCATTTTGTATTCCTAGTCCTTCGCACTGTACTTCTAGAAAGCTCAAAGTAGATGCTCAATATTTATTTGTAGAGTGGATGTATGAATGAATGTTTCAATGAATGCTGTCCACTCTCATTCTCATTCACTGGAGACCAGCCCCACAGTCTAATTATGACTATGTACTACCATGTCACCTATGGTGGGTGCTCAGTGCTCCAGACCACACAAACCCAAGTGGCAGAAATACAGTACTCAGAACAAGGAAAGCAAGCAGCAAAGGTAAATAACCCACTGCGTGCAACATTTTACCAAGCTGTACCTTAACCACAAAGGAAGCTAGAAGAAGCCCCAAACCACGTCTGGGTGGCTCAGTCGTTGAGCATCTACCTTCGGCTCAGATCATGATCCCAGAGTCCTGGGATCGAGCCCCACATCGGGCTCCCTGCTCCGCGGGAAGCCTGCTTCTCCCTCTCCCACTCCCCCTGCTTGTGTCCCCTCTCTCGTTGTGTCTCTGTCTGTCAAATAAATAAATAAAATTAAAAAAAAAAAAATAGAAGGCCCAAACCATAAAGGAATGCAAGATGCATTCAGAGCAGAAATGGCTTATAGCCTGGAGACCTCAAAGAGAGAAGACAGGACAATGGTAGATTTAAAAATCCTCTGACTTTTGTCTTAGAAATTGAGTAGGAGGTATTTCCAACTACTACAAATGGTAGCAGGGCAGCTAAGGAGGCAAAGCAAGGGTGAGGAGTTTCAATAGATGGAGAGGGCCCAGCAAAGGATAGACAGGAAGATACTCAGAAATCCAAGCCACGTGACCGTTCAGATAAGCCTGCCAAAAGGCAAAACCCAATCCCCGGAAAGAAGTCTGGCAGGTATGATTCCAGGCCCAGTTCCAGAAACGACAGAACCAGGCATGTTACCAGAATAGTCTCTGGGAAAGACAAAGGAAGAAATCCAGTGAACAGACCCAGAGCAGCATCTTGGAAACAAAGCAACGTCCTAGTACCTAAACTAAGACCAAAAGATGGGTGCTGATCTGGAACAAGGATGACCTGACACTAACGCAGCTTCGGGATGTGCTAATAAGGCTGCTGAAATCATGGCCACGCTATCTCTAAACTGCAACGGAATTCTGAGCCTACCATAGGGATCTGAATGTTTTGTTTAATGCCCTCCCACCCCACTCCCTGCCACACACATACACAAAGTGACTGATGCATGCTAACATTTGAAGCTTGCTGTTCTAGACTTCAGGTGGCAATCAGCCTTGGGTAGGGGGCCGAACCAACAGGTGGCAAGTAGAAGGCCCTTGCTGAGGGATGGCAGATATAAGGACCCGGGTAGGCCGGACATAACATCACCTGGTTTAAAGTCCTAGTCTCTAAAGAGCTGAAAAGCCTTTGAGGGCCTTCTGCTGCAGCCTCCCAAGCACACAGCAATGCCCTCCTACACACTCTCGAGGAAGCAGTGTGCGACAATGGTGACCACGTAGGCCCTGGACTCAGGCCTTCTTGGGGTTGAATCCCATCTCTGCTGCTTATTAGTTATTGACCTTACCCAAGTTTTTTTTAACCTCTCTAAGCCTCAGTTTCCTATCTTAACACAAAATGGCAGTACAAATAATTCCCATCTCTAAGAGTTGATATCAAAATGAAATGACAGACTAAATAGCCAGTAAATGTTAGTATTACTACCCTACCGCTACTTAAATTAATGCTTCTAGTGAAAGGGATCTTACTATTCCCCAAAGCAACCACAACATTTTTTTTTTTGAGAGAGAGAGAGAGAGTATGTGTGTGTGCGCTAACATTCGAGTCCGGGGTGGGGAGTCGAGGGGAGGAACAGAGGGAGAAAGAATCTTAAGCACACTCTACGCCTGGTGCAGAGCCTGATGTGGGGCTTGATCCCACGGCCCTGCAATCATGACCTGAGCCAAAATCAAGAGTCAGAAGCTTAACCGACTGAGCCACCGAGGCACCCCTACATTTCTTTTTTTAATAAGAAAAAAAAAAGGCCAGTTTGCAGATAAAATATTCCAAAAATTTTACATCTGTAGCCCCAATGGAACATAGAACTGGACAGCCAACAGTTAGCTGCAGAGGTAGTCTCAAATAGTTTCTCCACAGACTGACTGGTTTGGACCAAATACTAAAATATAAAAGGCAAGAGAAAAGAAAATAACATGGGCCTGCTTGTTCACTATTTTCTTTGTTCACTATTTAATTTACAATGAAAGACAAAACAAAACAAAACAAAAAAACACTTTCTAAATAGTTTTCTTATGTGCCAACAACTTCTAGTCCTACCATAGACTATCATTTTTTCCCAAGCACTGTGAGAATATATTCTTCATACTTCTTTGAAATATGAAATATTTAAAAGTGCTCAAAGTGTTCTTTTTTTTTTTTGCCAAGACCTTTAGTTGTATTTAATTTTATAGTGGTTTGTGGCCATCAAAAAGAACATGAAAACTATTCATTGACAGAGTTGACTGAGACACCTCTGTTAATGAAAGCATGGAAACACCAAAAATTCTATACTGGGTAGTTGGCACCATTCTAAGGACATGGAAAGCTACAAGCTATTTCTGCCTTAAAGCCTTAGTCTTTAGAACTTTAAATTGTTGTTGTGACCCAAAGTGTAGCAACCAATGTAAAACGTGCTTTGTTCCACATTCTTTGTTCAAAAAGGCGGGGAATGTAATAAGTACTCAGAGTCAATGGACATCTCTCCAGTATAACCTGTTTCAAAGATTCCTCTGACTAAATTTTAATCCAGGCTTATTTCCACCTACCACGCAACATATTATGGAGTATCTCTTCCATGGCCCAGCCACTCTGACTAAAAAATAAAAAGTATTTTTTAAATTGACCTAAACCAGGGCGCCTGGATGGCTCAGTTGGTTAAATGCCTGACTCTTGGTTTCAGCTCAGGTCATGATCTCAGGGTCTTGGGATCCAGCCTCACATTGGGCTCCTGAGGCTCCGCACTCCGCGGGGTGTTGCTTGATAGTCTCTCTCTCCCTCTTCCCCCTCTGCCCCTCCCCTCATTCTCATTTGAGCTCTATGTCAACAGCATATGCAGTAATTGACTAACTTTAAAGATTCATTTGGAGCCATCAACCCATCTGAAAGATCAATTCCAGAAAAACATGCAAATGGCTCGCTAAGCAGAATAACTGAAAGAATATACTCCTGCTAGCACAGTGCTCACATCCTGTATTGTAACTTCCCTAATACTTGCTGAGTACCAATTATGTACCAGGCTCAGTACTCTGGAGTATCAAGAAATGGGACTAAGTTTTTAAATTTTTAGCTTAGTTCTTGATCTCTGAAAACTTATTCATAATAGTCCTCAATAAATGCTTATTGAATTTAATCTGATTATTTGTAGAGCTTTGTACATTTTACTTCAATAACTTTCCTAAGGCCAAATAACCACATGCTGCTTTGGCTCCACTTAGAGTTGGTATTCTATAAACTGAATCCCTACTACCAGGCACCCATGCAAGAGTGTGATGAGGGGTGATGTGGTAACTCAAGGCAGACGCGGTAAGAGAGATTGGCAACAGGAAGGGAGAAAAAGACTACTAACAAAGCAGACCCGACAGAACTTTGCTGCTAATCGGGTACTGCAAAGAGAATGAGAGATTTTAACTTTTATTTCTAAACTTTAGGTCGAAAGTTAGTCTTTAATTTAGTGTCTAGCATTATTTAATAACTTTTTTTAAAGATTTTATTTTTTAAGTAATCGCTATACCCAACATAGGGTTCGAACTTACAACACCGAGCTCAAGAGTGGCATGCTCTACTGTGAGGCATCCCGACTAACGTGTTTTTTTAAAATGCTTAGGATCAAAACTAATGATGTAATGTATGGTGATTAAGATAACATAATAAAATTTAAAAACTAAATAAAATAAAATGCATAGGATTGGGGCATCTGGGTGGCTCAGCTGGTTAAGCATCTGCCTTCCGCTCAGGTCATGATCCCGGGATCCTGGAGCCCTGGGGTGGAGCCCCACATTGCAGGGAGCCTGCTTCTCCCTCTCCCCCTGCTTGTGCTCTCTCACTCCGTCCAAAAAATAAACAAAATCTTTAAAAAAAAAATGCTTAGGATCTCTGCTTCTCCCCAAGCTCCAAAGAACTTTATTCACTAAATTGTAAGTTCTTAAGGGCAAGGATCACACCATAGTTATTACTATATTCCAAATACTCAGGTCAATGTACACAGTATTTATAAATGTTTATTGAATGAATAAATTCCACCATTTGTCTCCTCTAATCTTTTCTTCCACCATTTTTTTTATTTCTGTGTGTCTCTCTCATTTCTGTATACATCTATGTCTATATGCTTGTCTCCAATTTTCTCTTCATGTCTATTCATCACTTGTCCCTTCTCCTCCTTACCCCCATCTCTTCCGATACTGACCATAACAGAACTAAAATGTATTTTTTCAATCTATTAAATTGAAATTGATGGTCTCTATTCTTAAATTGATTTAAATAGACCATTTAAAATTTTTTTTTTAATTTCTTTTATTTATTTATTTATTTATTTGACAGAGAGAGAGAGAGCAGGTGAGCACAGGCAGGGGGAGCGGCAGAGGGAGAGGGAAAAGCAGGCCCCCCGCTGAGCAGGGAGCTATATGTGGGGCTCGATCCCAGGACCCTGGGATCACGACCCGAAGGCAGTCGCCTAAGTGACTGAGCCACCCAGGCACGCCATTTTAAATTTTTCTTAAAACTGTTTTTTACCATGTGGCCCTCAATTTATTATTATTTTAAAGATTTTATTTATTTGACAGAGAGAGACACAGCGAGAGGGAACACAAGCAGGGGGAGTGGGAGAGGGAGAGGCAGACTCCCCGCTGAGCAGAGAGCCCCATGTGGGGCTCTACCCCAAGACCCTGGGATCATGACCTGAGCCGAAGGCAGACGCTTAACAACTGAGCCACCCAGGCACCCCTCAATTTATTATTTTTTAAAGTTGATTCTGAAAAGAAAAAGAGCCACTCTTGTTCTAAAAGTTAAAGAAAGGGGTCTAACAGATGTTTGTGTTGGGGGACTATTCAAATCTTGAAAATATTATAAGGGTGGGGGAGCTTAAATACTAATCAGAAGAAAAAAAATTAAAAACTCCCCAATTTTAATCAGATATCTAAAAAGGTTATGGGGGGGTAGTGAAAGTTGAAAAGCTCAACCTGTACTATTATTACCTAAAAATCTAAAGTGTAGTTGAAAATGTTATATTGGACATCTTCTTTCAACACTAACTTATTTTAAAATCTCTTAACTTCGACTTTACTTATTTGTAAATGTTTACACTTTGTGTTATGTTGTATTTGTAATCTGTAGAAAAATGATCCTTCTTCCTTTGAAGTACTTGATTGTGTGCAGTTTGTCGAACCCTGAAAGCAAAGGAGCTTTTCAATATTAGTTGTAAAGCAGCAATTTCCTTTCAACCTCTCCTACTCAGATAACATCTCAACTCCTAAATCACTAAGCAAATCAACAAAATGCAAGAATATAAGGCAGTGAAAGAGACAGTTCTTCCCCCATGATATTGATTTATTTTTTCCTCCCATAATATTTAAAGCTGTTTTTTAGTCTGTGAAATAGTGGCATTGCCCCTACACATATAAAATGTTATTTCTGATAATAGTACAATCCACTTAAAAGGAAAAATTTGGATGCCTACCCTCAATTTCGTATAAAATGTATTTTTTATCAACAGAAGCCAACCAAAACGTGACTTTAAGAGTAATGATATTAAAATACAGAATACTGTAGATCCAAAAACCTCTAAATTTCTTTGACTTTTTTCAAGGAACCCACATCGTTTACTAAAAAGGGAAAATGATCATAATTTTGTAATTAAACTTGTGCACTGAGGAGTAAGGCTCATCCTCCCACAATGGGCGTGACGTTAAGAGAATCTCATCACATTTAGGAAAAAGAAAAGGACGCACGGGGCGAGGAGCCACAGGGCAAGCCGCGGCCCAAAGACACAAGGCAGTTGGGCTTAGACACAGAAAAGCCACACGAAGTCCTTCTCCTGCCTGACAACGAGATCTGAGAGTACCACCCCTCCCCCCAACAAAAGCACATCCTGCCCAGGAAGGAGAGCAAAGGCACCCAGCACAGGCACAACGTACACAGTTCCAGGTCAGGTTAGAAGTCAGGAAGACCCAGGTTCTGCTAAAATAACAAATACTGAGTGTTCGCGCACAGCGAGCACGCCCTTCCCGGGCAGGGAAGACCAACAAAGATGCATAAACCCACTCGGTAAGAACCTAACAGCGTGCACCCACACCTCTCACCCCACACCGGATCCGAAGCGCGGCTGCGTTGGGACTCCCGTCCACACCAAGCCAGGCGAGCTGCAGAGGACTCAGCCCGGCAAGAGAGCAGAAGCTCTAGGGGCTCGTCCAGGAGGGTGGAGACGCAGAGATACTCCCAGTCCCTCACCTGCGGGGGCGAGCGGGACCGAGCGCAGGGGGGAGGCGGGAAGCACCGGGAGCGGGGCGTACAACCCTCACCTGGCAGAAGCACCTCTGCGCCGCCGTCTCAGGGGACTGCTGCCCACCATGACCCGAGCCGAGCAGCCACACGGCCCCCACGAGGCCGATCAGGAAGCCCCAGCGGCGGCCCATAGCCGCTCTGGCCGTTCGTCACCCAGTGCCTCGCGGTCCCAGCACTCGGGCGCAGGCCGCGCGTCCGCAGATGAAGCCCGCGCGGGCCGGCCCCCGGCGGCGCCCCACCTCCGGGCCGCCTCCCAGGCCCGCCCTCGGCTCTCCCGCCTCTCAGCGCCCGCCACCTCCCGGCGGAGCCTGCGGACGTGCCTAGGCGCCCGCAGCGGGCCGCCCGGGGCCTCAGGTCGGCTTCCTTCCCCGCGCGTGAGGCTGACGCACGAACCCGCTTCCCGGTTCGGCCCCGCCCGGCGTGCCACGCCCGTCCCCGGCCCCCTACGCCCGGCGCCTGTCCCTCGCTCGGGTGCTGCCGCCCCAACCCCCGCGCGGGAGTCGAGGGTCGAGGGTCCTTCCCGCTCCGAGAGCGAGAGCGAAACCGGAGGGGTCTGGGTCTCCCTGCAGGGCCCCACCCCACCCCGCGCACTCCCGGCCAATCCTTCGGTATCTCAAAGCGAGGAAGGCAAACCGTACGAATTACGCGTCCACAGTGGTCCCTGGCAGTCTTAAAGCTGAAAACGACATGAGTGATCATCTAGACCAGGGCTGCATAGGTAATTTCGCGTTTCTAGTAGTTACGTCGAAAGAGCAAAAAGAAACAGGTGAAGTTAATTTTAATATATTTTGTTTAACCCAATACATGCGAAACATTTCGAAATATACTCAATATTAAATTATTCATAAAATATTTTACATGTTGTTTTTAAGTCTAATCTGGTGTGCATTTTACGCAAACTAGCCACATTTCATAGTCAAATGTAGCGAGTGGCTACAATTGTATCAGTCAGCGCAGGTGGAAACTACCCTCTCATTTCATCTCCCCAGAGCGGGGAGATGACGTGACGAAGAGATGAGTTCGTCCTTTGATTCCGAGCGGTGGGTCTAGTCTAAAAGCCTTTTTTTTTCAAGGAGAAATTTTCACGGTGAAACTGGAAAGCTTACCAACATCTTATTAACATTTCAAATATTTCAAATTATCTTTTTTTTTTGGTATGTCATTTTTTTAAAGATTTTATTTATTTATTTGACACAGAGGGAGAGATAGAGCAGGAACACAAGTAGGAGGAGCAGGAGACGGAGAAGCAGGCTCCCCGCTGAGCCAGGAGCCCGATGTGGGGCTCGATTCCAGGACCCTGGGATCATGACCTGAGCCAAAGGCAGAAGCTTAAGGACTGAGCCACCCAGGCGCTCCTTGGTATGTCATTTTTAATGAAGTAGCTTAGGATATGGTAGGCCCCAAATAGGTATTACTTCTGTTTTCCAGCTGAGAAAAATAAGCATAGAAAGTTTATATGTTATTCAAAGTCACATGATATGCTAGAGGTGAGACTCAAACTCAGATATTTCTTACTTCAATGCCCATAACCTATGCTCTGCTTTCACTTGCCACGTGGACTGACGCATGGTAAAATGTCATCAACCATCTGAGATCCTGGTGGGCCTGAGAAGCTCAGATTCTAATATCTACAACATGCCACATTTACATATTAATCCAATCTCCCTCTTTGCCTAGCAAGTTCTTTTTCATCATACCTGTGTACTGATCCTACTTCTCTTTCCAGGGCCAGACCCAGCTCATTCATTCCCTCTTCTTCATGGTCTTTCTGGTTTCCTCTTCACCCATTTCCAGTCTCTAAATGAATTTCAATTCAATAAACTCACTCTATGCCAGACTGAGCTTGACATTAGAGATATAAAGACATAGAAGGTCCAGTCCCTGCATACAGAGGGACACCCTACAGAACTTAGCATGTGATCCTTTATGACATTTCTACTTCATGTTTCCACCACTGAATTGTAATCTCTTTCAGCTCTTCAAGTGGGAATTTTGCCTCAAACATACCTGTGACTCTCAGTATCTTAACAAGGCTTCTCTGCCTATGTTTGTAAATTGAATGAATATTTTTTCATATACAATATTAATATCTGAAGATTACACTATCAAAAATAAGAGATATGAAAATGGAGAAACTAAATGAATAAAGCCTAAAATTGCAGGAGGAAGCAATCTGAACATGAATCACCTCTGGATTTCACCCTGATGCAATAAACCTGTAATTTGGGAGAGTTTAAAAGTATGAATGTTCCCAGGATGAAAGCTCCATTCCTCAGATTTGAACTCTTGCCCACAACAAATTTCTAGCAAACTTGTAATCAGAAACCATCACCATATAAGACCAGTTTTTACTTTATTGCTTTTTCAGCTTTATTGAAGTTTAATTGACTAATAATATTGTAAGATATTTAAAATGTAGGTCATGATGATTTTATACACAGATGCCATTGTCAAAGATCCCAACACTGAGTTCATTAAGACATCTATCATCTCACATATTTACCCTTTATTCCTCCTTGGTGAGAACATTTAAGTTCAACTCTCTTAGCAAATTTCAATTATACAAATAGTTACCAACTATAGTCACCATATTAGACATTAGATCCTAAGAACTTATTCATCTTATGTTTGAAGGTTTGTACACTTTTACCAATTTCTCCCTAACCCCCCCGCCCCCGCCCAGCCCCTGCCAACCACTTTTCTACTCTCTTGTTTCTATGAGTTTGACTTTTTTTTTTTTTAATTTCACGTATAAGTGATAGCATGCAGTATTTGTCTTTCTCTGTCTGGCTTATTTCACTGGGCATGATGCCCTCAAGGCCTATCTATGTTGTAGCAAACAGCGGGATTTCCTTCTTTCTCATAGATGAATAGTCCATTGTATATGTGTACCACATCCCCTTTACCCATTTATCCACTGATGCACACTTAGGTTATTTCCATACTTTGGCAATTGGGAACATGCTGCAATGAACATGGGAGTGCAAGTATCTCTTTGAGATAATGGTTTCATATGCACCCAGAAGTGGGATTGCTGGATCTTACTTTATTGTCTTAATAATTATAATTTTTCCTTTCAGCTTTGTCAGGGACTTTAGAATGTGTAAAACACAGTTTTATACACATGGCATAACTACCACTGACATTTATTTCCCCGAGAATCCCTCCAGTTGGTCCTTTTTGTATGAGTTTACTTTTCCCACTCTGCCTGCTCTGGAAATCACTTTACCTGTGTTAGGGCCTATGAAATAACTGATTAGTCATTCAGTAACTATTAAGGAGCACCCACAGGGCACACAGTTCAACCTTTGCTCTCCAAAAGTCCAGCCTCCCTTCTATTATACCTTAGCTAAACAACATTAAATTTTTTAGAGATGAACAAGGTCACAAACTTGTTATTCTAATACTAGTGATTATAACAATAACATAACTTAGTGTACACAGCATTTCTTGATGGAATTCTGATTACCTGTGCAAACAACAGCTATTATTTTTTTTTTTTTAATGACCAAAGCCGGAAATGGCTGGAACCCAATTTCTCAAAATGAGACATGGAGATTTCTGTAGGAAGCTTCTCAGTACCTAAACATTTTCTGGCACTGAATAGGCTGGAAGGAAATCATCTCAAGGGAAAAATTTGCTCAAGGAAAAGGAATATTATGACACTCAAGAGGAAGAAAGGCTAAGTAAAAATCTAAAGGTCTGGTGTTGATAGTTGATTAGATCTATTTATCTAATTAGTATTTATTGAATATAAATATGCATGTTATACATTGCTAGAATTTTCTCCCAAGACACTTGAGATTATTTGAGATGGGGGAGAAATGCCACCTAAGCTCTATCTTCACCTCCTTTCCCTCATATTCCTGGAAATACAAGCTTCATAAAGTAGTAACTGACTTATTAACTTCCCATTTACACCTTAACCTCACTGTGCAGTGAGGTTTCTAACTCTACCCTCCTACTCCTCTATATCTGGCCATCTTATGGTCAAATCTAATTACCATTTTCATGAGATCATGAAATCTCTGCTGCACTTTGACAATGCTCATTCCATCCTCTGAGGAGGATGAGCATTCAGTGTCTATGCACCAAACACTCCAGATTCTCCTTACACTTCTCTAGTATTATTTAACTGTCTCCTTCATGGGCTTTCCCCCAGCCTACATCTATGATGTGAGTGTTCCCCAGGATTCTATCCTCTGTCCAGTGCTCTTCTTCTATACTTGCCCCTAAAGAAACTTGCCCATTCTCACAATTTTAAATACCTCCTCCCTGCCAATGTCTCCCAAATCTATTTTTCTAGTTCAGATCTCTCCCTGACATTCAAAAGCCAACTGCCTATTGGACACAACCATCTGCTTTCCTCACCACCATCCATATCTAGACACCTAAGAAGCAGGAAGCCACCCTCAGTTTCTCCCTTTTTTTCACCAATCAATAGATTTGTTATCTATTAGTCGACCAAGTCCTGCCAGTTCTTTCTTCAATTTATTCCCTCCTCTCCATCTTTATGACCAAGGAGTTAGTTTCAGCCCTTATTGTCACTCACCTGATTTATTGTCACATTTTCTTAAATGATCACCCAGGCCCTAAGCTTATCCCCATCAAAAAACAGCCTCAAAAAAAAAAAAACAACACCAACAAAAACAAAAAACAGCCTCCATGCTAGCCTGATTTCTCAAAAATATAAATCTGACCACATCACACCTCTGTTTAAAAACTCCAATTCTCCCCACTATCTGAGGAATCAATTCAAGATTCTCAGCATGACATTCAAAGTCCCCATGATCTGGCCTCACCTATTTTTCCAGCTATATCTCTAATACCTCTCTGCCTTACAGTCACTGAACTATTAACAATTCCCCATATAGACCTTGTTTCCACCCTCCATGTTTTTACTCACTCTGTTTCCACTCCTGAAATGTTTTTTGCCCTGCCTCATATGGACCATCCTCACTTCATCTGGCTAACTCCTTTAAGATTAAGCTCAGGCAACTGCTACCTCCATGAAGTCTTCCCTAACTCTTCTGTGGTTGGGTTAGGTTTCTCCTTTTTGGTTCTATAAGCTCATATAATTGTGCTTAGTATGTGGAATCAAATATGTATTTATGTAAACGTTCTCCCCATTCAACAGAGGGGTAGGGAACTCGCCTTGGTAGTCTCAGCTTCCTCAGCATTTAGTGTGTGAGTTTCACAAGATGACTTTTGAGTGAATTAATGAATGTACACATAAATTAAATAAAGAACTTGAGAAGATAACAGCATGAGATGTCACAGGGCAACATGTGATTATGTTTCAAACATTACAAGCTTAGAGGCAAAGCAATCATTTTGGGCAGAAGTAAATTTGGATGGGAC